TTGTTTTAATTTTATGAAGTCAAGCTATATTGCAATATTCTATGTATAATATTTATGTATTTTTGAAATAATTTGGTTTAGTAAACAAAATTAAAATGATGCAGCTCTAGTTTAAGTAATTTATATCATCAGCTTAAATTTGAAGACAAAATGATAATGGATATAGATGCAGCTATATACAGTAAACACAACATTGCACCAAACTCCTGAAGCGCTTGGCCTCTCAAGCACATTTAAAATATCTAAATTTGATCTGCTTTTATTGGCAATCAGCACTCTCAGCTAAAATTAAATTGAACATTTGGCGTGAATCAAGGCTCTGTGCTGGGTCATTTTATATTTAGCCTTTATATATACCTCAAAGCAATATTATCTACTAATATTCTCATGAGGAGTATAACATATACTGTAGTTACACTTAAGATACACAGCTACAAATTTATAGAATGTCTAGACCATGCTCTATTTTAGCCATACATAGTACAGTATATGTTTCAATGCATCAAGAGTATTAACCATATAGCTGTCACAGAACTAAACAAGGGAATGAAATAAGTCCAGAAAGAGAAACTGAAATCTATTACCACACTCATTTTAAAAACAACAATGTACTGTGAAATTACATCACAAAAGTGTTTTTGTTTATCATTTTAAAATCACTGTCAAAGTGCATTGTCTCAGTTCCTCTTACAAACACACAGATATCGATGCATTCCTTCATTACTAGCAGACTGAACGGCAATGCTCTCCCGTCTTCCCAACAAAAAGGCTAGACCACGAATTATCTGAACTACTGCAGCGTAAACACCAGAACGAGTGCATTCATTATCATTTCAGTGTTACTTCACTGACTTCAGATATATTATAGAATCCCTCAATTCACTTACAACCATATACACGTATACATCTTAAACAGTTAAGATGTCAAGTCTGCATGTAAACAAAACCTAGTGTCTCATTTATTGCCTTCTTTTTGTTTAACTTATTAATGTTGATGGAAAGTATTTGTTTATGTAAAAAAAAAAAATAGGGCTATTTATTTATTACACATTTTTTAAGTTGGAAAAGTGTGTTTACTTGGCTTGTACACTGCATACAAGCAGCTACTGTATGTACAATTTACATTTATGAAATTGAGGCATGTGCTTCAAAGTTGGTTGCTAAACTAACATAGAAGATAAATAAATAACATTTAAATAAAATAAATCAAGGGATGAATGAATGGATTTATGGTCAATTTAAGTATAAATTACCTATTAAGCATTTTATCATTTAGATTATTTAATGAATGTAACTTTAAACCAAAGTAACAAAGCAAGTCATTAAACATACAATAATAATAATAATAATAATAATAATAATAATAATTTATTACTACTGCAATTTACACTTTAGAAATTTTACAAAGCACAACAAGGAAAACAATGCGTTTAAGAAAGAAACCATTTAGTTTGGATACAGTTTCTATATTTAAAGGAGGCCTCGAAATTACTTTTTACCAATAGTTTGAAAATGCAGAAGGAAAAAGCGATGGGATTTGAGTGTGTGAAAAAGAGCAGAAGCAAGATGAAAATAAGTCTGATGAGTAGGTCAACTTGCAAAAGTACAGCATGTGGCCACTTCATGTAGAACACATTTTAACAGTATGTTTAGTGTCATGTCATATATCATAACGCGAAAAAAAAAAAAGATAAGACAGGTCAACGTCGCACGTCTGAAGCGTTTCGCCAGCCCGTCCCAATTCACTCCTGCTGTACTATTCATAATAAAAAAAGATCAGTATTTGCTGTAGTATAGTTATGCATGTAAGTATTAAGCACTACAAATCAGCAAGTTTTATTTACTGTACTGTGCAATTAGCCTATTTTGTGGAAAATCTCGCAATTGTGTCTACGCATTTCTTAACTGTAAAACTACTAATAAATTAAGAAGCATTATGTGTTAAATAATAAATGTGTACACACTTTATCATAAAATGTTTCCACAACAATATATGCACGGTTTGTTCGTTTCCACGAGAATTTTAAGACATGCAGACCCGCAGAGCGGCGCTCTCACCCTGCCAACTGCGCCAGATCGTCCAGGGGGCGGAGCCAGCAGACTAACTGACAGCTGATTCTGAGCGTAAACTCCTCCCCCCACCGCCTTTCTCTCTCTCCCTCTTTGACTTTCCTTGATTTCAGAGCAGCCGATCTTCATTCCAGTGCACATGGAAAGGCAGAGGAGCAGGAACGCTCAGCGCTCAGAAGGTGAAACGCGCTCAGGGATTTTACGCGTAAAAACCGCTATAAGGTGATTTTTACGGGACGCGCTTTATTATTGGACTACAACAGAATGTTATTTGAGGAGGAATTGACATTTAAACAACTGTTCTCCGTATAGGGATTTCACTGTGCAACATCTATAAACGGACACACACGCTCTCTCCACTGATGAAAAAAAAAACTGGAAGGAGCATTTACCCGGTTGGATGAGTTTTAAAGCTCTTTCGGCGCTGCTTTAGACATTTTTGCACATTGGATTACATACACACTGCTGACATTGCGGTTTATGGAAATAGAGCTCAGCAGAAGACAGCTGAATTTGGAGAAGAGGGTCTCGGAAGCTGGACTGAGGGTCTGAAGGATTTTACAATCTCCTCCTGGAGCTCCACTTTCATGTCCGAGGTCTTTGGTTTATGACAATGGATTATTTGCTGTTTTTATGCGGCTTTTTGCTGCCTCTGTCCTCGGCTGTTGAAGGTAAGATTGCCTATATTTTTCTCGCAATGCATATCAACTCAAACTAGAGTCTGGGAGGCAAGTCACGGGTCGATACTATTGATGCGCGTCTATAGGAGTTGCGCTTCGGATACCGTAAATAACAACTGGGTTTTAAGGTTTTAGTGTTATGCATTTTAATTAATGCAGAAACACGCGCCTGGTCCAATACTTCTTAAAAAGCACTGGGGAATTGATCTGGCCACTGAATGTCACCAATACACATGCAATTACACTGCATAACTTCTCCCTCCTAATTGTTGTTTATTTTCTTTCACCAAGACAATAGTTTCTGTCTTTCGTAAAGGAAATGTCTCTACAGGGATTCCCACTCCAACAGTCTCTCTGTCAGTCAAGACGCAAATCCAGATTCCTTCAAAAGACACATGGTGAATTTTGAGCATTCCATTTTTCTGATCAAATATAACGACGTTTGGGCAGCCCATAAATTGACCAAAATTGACATTTTATTTGCTCCTATGTATCTGGAGGTTGATTTCATGTTGTGAATCAATTGTGACCTTTTTGGTGTGCGTGTTCTTTTTAATCACAATTATGGTTCGTTTATTTTATAATGACCCAGATCGGTAGTTTAGTTGGCTTTTGATTAAATTATTCTTCGAAGTCTGGACCTCCATTTGACTGGGTGGACCTTTTGACACCAATAAAGATGAAAATGAGTGGGCGCTTAATAGATTTTCATGGAGAACAACAATGCCGATTTCTTTCTTTCTTTATTGGTATTTTTAACCATACAATTGGCGACAAGCATGAAATCGAGAACACTTGATTATTGTACTGCTGCTCAGACTTTTCTAGTGTGAGTCTAGTGAAATTCTTTAAAACAGCACTTATTTAGGCTAATAAAACTCGTATTTTCATACTATTAATGGCGATATATGTATTAATGCCATATAACTACAGCCCCTTTAGCCACAATTAATACTTTTTTTTTTAAGATAAAAAAGCTTGCCTTGCATTTTACTGCTCAGTGTTGGATTATCACTATACCTACACACTATATTGAATGTTTTAATGAGTGAAGTGGACGGATGTTGAATGCGGGAAGTTGTTTGGAGTTCATACGGTTGTTTAGTTAAATTTATTTATTAAGGCTATCCCCTTTTCCCCATTGCAAAACCGTGGTGTATATTTCTATATCATTTCTATGTCAACCCTGTAAAAGTTATTTAAATAAACTTCGCTCAGTGATTTATAGTCTTGTCCGATAACTTGTCAGAAAAAAAAATAGTGAATGTTTATATGAAAGGCACAAGGGCCTCTATTACTAGCCTATATTGTCTGATAGATAGTTCTACTTGTTTAGCTCGGAAATCATGCAGATTGTTAATAGTAGCCTAACCAAGTATCACAATTTTAATGTTTAACGAAAACTGTAATTGAAAAATAAAAGCGTTATACGTGATAACAACGACTAACTTAATCAGCGACTCAAGCGATTCAGTAGCCTATATATATCTACTATATATACATATACCCATCTTATATGTCCGTTTATAATGAAATATTTTCTTAAGTGTATTCGAATTTAATTTTAGTGTTTTCGCTGACAACATTCATGTCATGTTCTTGGTCTCTGGAGATTTCCCCCCTATGAGAGCCAACTGAAGAAAAAAAAAAGAGGATCAAAGCTGTCCAACATGCATTTAAATGTGATTTTCAATGCATTTCTGATTTCTACTGTAGCCTATCTATAATATTAGTTACGCGGCACTCTCTGTTTGAATCTCAACTCACACGCGTTTTTAGTATCCAAGTCTCTCTCTCCTCTTGTCCAATTAGTCAAAGGCCTGGTTTTAATTCCCCTACCCTACTGCACTTGTTATTTAGCACATGCGTACGTGATAAACATATTTTGTCCTGTATAGTACTTATTTTGAGGTAAATACAGTAATTTAAGGCATATCTAAAACAGGCCTCCGCAGTATAACGCGAGAACAGTGTAAGTATATGTAGACCATTTGACTTCATAAATCAACGTGCTAAAATACTGACATTACTCTTGTTTATCTTTCCCTCACGTACACTCTATTTACAGTATTTCAGTCGTTAAAAGAAAACGTCTTGCGCCTGTAGGAACATTTTGCGTATATGCCCTCTTCATGTCAAATTTAAGTGGCAATTCAAAGGTAAACGCAGCTAACGCAGACATAGCCTTTACTGACGAAATAACATACTCATTTGGGGAGGTAAATAGCATTAACATGAGAAACGAGAGAATAATTACAGGGCACATTCACTGCAGAAGAGCCGTAACGTGAGCTTGAAGAAAGGCCTGAACGCGCAGCGTAAGCAAAACATGTATTTGTATTTTTAGAAAAAAAGGTTTAATTCACTCTCACAAGTGAGGTTTTGGGAAGCTGACCTGTTGTAGGCTAGGGTGTGTCAATTTTATTTAAACTATTTTTGCCATTTTGCACTGACTGAGAGGCTAAATGCAATGTTCGCACTTTTAAGAACCATTTATCAAAGCGCAGGACAGGCCCGTTTAAAATGGAACTGCTGATGGCGATAAACAATAAATGATGAAAAACGTAAAATAAATAGTAACAGTCACATCGCATGAATTGTAGCCTAATTTACATGAAAAATCTATATACATTTTTATACTATAATCTTGTTTTTGATTAAAAAGCTCTTTGACAAGTTATGCGTCAACGACTGTAATTTATAGGCTACATCGCTATTATTTTTTTCCCGCTGCTGTTATTTTAATAGGCTGTAAATGTAACAAAGTAATAATAATAATAATAATAATAATACACTTATTATTATTATTATTATTATTATTATGACAGCTGTTGAGCGCAACACCCGAATTCTGTAATCGATGCGACTTGACTCGATGCGATCGATCTGTAAAATCTACGGTCAAAAGGTTTAAAAAGAGGTCAAAGCATTGATCTCTTCTTCACACCATTCACACGAGCCACGCTCCTTTGAGTGGCTCTTTTCTCAACTTATTCAATTACATAAAAGCCGTTTTCAATTAAACATGAGCACAGTTCGGTCAAGTAAAGTAAACAAAGTAATACGTATTTTTGCTAAACTGTGTTCAGCGCTAATTGAAAAAATAAATACATTAAAAAAAACGCGAATTAGTTCAGGCTGAAGACTAACAGTAAGCATTTGGCAGCTGCGTTTAAAGTTAAAGTTGTAAGTGTGTATAATATTTATTCATTCAAATAGATGTATCTACAAATTGATCAAAATATGTAAAAAATCCAATATGTATATTATATACATTTTTTGACCTGGCCTATCTGGTGTATCCATAAATGTAACCAAATAGTCAAAATTGGAGAGGCCCCAAATGTAAAAGTTTAAGAAAACCCAACTCTGATTATTGGGTGGGACGCGTTTCCCTGCTTCTGATGGTGGGCCTGCCTTTAATGTTTGTGCCACAGCTCATGGGTGCTTCAGCTTGGTGTGCGGCCTTAAATTAATATATTTTGTGTAGTACATTTAATTGCTTATTAATTTATTTTCATATGTATTATATTTATAAAATAATTGTTTATTATATAAGTCTTGAGTGAGAGCCATTGAAAGGTCATATGTTAAACAGAGGATAGCGTGAACAGATGTCCACTGGCTTTGTTTCAGACTCTCATAAGGAGCTCAAAGGAGTCTCAGACTCAGGCTTAAAGATGCTATGAAAACCAGGCAGAATCACGAGTGACAATGTGGTGGTCCGCATAAGCTCATATCCCTAGCCTATAAACATGAGCACTGATAACCTTTTGATTTCAGGAATGCTTTGGCTGTAAAAACCGACGGCATTCTGAGCCCAGCATGGAACAATAACTTGCACTGAAAGCCAATATTTAACCAAGTACTCTGTTAATTGATGAAGAAGTGGAATGGACGCTGACTGGAATGTAGAATTTGCTCTTTTTGGAGTGTCCACTCTAAGGGGCCACTCTGGCAGCTGACGCAAAGGCCTTTACAGAAAAATAGGTCTTTGACACTCACGACAGTGTGAGGAGAGAATGTGTCTGGGCCCGAACACTGCCAACATCCCCCAGTGCTGTCTGCAGCTACTGAAGCGGAATGAGAGGGAGAAATTGAGAGTGAAAGAGAGGCAGAAAGAAAGAGGGATTGAGAGAAAAAGAGACATCAGAGTTTGGTTTCTGTGTTCGGTTGGTCATGAGCAAGATGGGTGGCGCTGGCAGGGAATATATCGGCTACCAAAACGCCCATTAAAAAAAAGGAATGCAGTGCGGAATACCCAAACAAAGTCACACGATTACAGGCACAATACATTTTTCTTTCCATCTGAATGGTTTTCCCTTTTCGACTCAGCCCCAGGGATTTTTATACGTTTTAACATTTGGACTCGGACTGCATGCGTGCATGGGTTCAGTGCATTTACAGTCGGAGCCAATCTGATTAGAAAAAAAAACACAGCGGAGAATTTTTCCCTGCCCAGAAACTACTTTTATTAATGCTTTTGAAATTTGTCATATTCGTGCACCGTCTATGACTGTTATAAGATGTGTTTTATGGACACTCGAGGATCGTATGTGTATAAAATCTAAAACTAGCAGCATTTTGTGACATGGTGCCTATGTAAACTCTAACAATTTGCTTCAATTTTAAACTACCAGACACAAGCAAAGGCAACTCCATCTTTCTGTGTGCATGCAGTGCACAAATGTGTCACAAACGAAGTAGCACACAGAAATAGGCTATGTGAGCTCTGACTATGGAAGTAAGATGACATATGATCGGACACACATGTACTCCTGCTATACTCCTGAGAAATGACTAACACATTTTTACAAGACAAAATTTTTACAAGAAGACATAGCCGTTAGTTTATAGTGAAGCCGTTCGGCAAGTAGGAGTTTGGAAAAGCTTCCAGACTTTTTGCTGCAGTGTTTTGATCCTTTGCTGAACAATGTTTATGAGCTTTAAACCAGTCCGGCCTGCTCCACTGATAAAGATAATAATTCCTC